GACACAGAGACTCAGAGAGGGTATAGAAGTCTATGAGGAAATGTTCCTACTTCTCTCTTGATTTATTACCTCAAATGTTAAAGAAATGTGTGTGTGTGTGTGTGTGTGTGTGTGTGTGTGTGTGTGTGCGTGTGCGTGTGCGTGTGCGTGTGCGTGTGTGCGTGCATGCGTGTTACCCGGACAGGGACTCTGACAGACGATGCTCTTGGTGGTCGGTCCGTCGCAGAATCGTCCTCCATATTTGGGGGCGGGGCTATTACACATCCTGATTGACAGCTGGAGCCCCTCCCCACAGGAGACGGAGCACGGCCCGGGCTGAGACCACGCCCCCCAGCCGCCGTCCACTGCACAGCCAATCAGAACGTCAGGTTTACAATTGAGTGTTTATCAACATGAAACTTCATTACTGACATTAAAGGTCTCCTATCATGCTATCTTTAGGCATATATCTCAGGTCTCGGATATATACAGATATATAAAGACATGTCTCTGAAGGGTCCTGCTCCAAACCCCAAACAGATCCTTGTAGCCCCCCCCCCCCCCCCTCTCTTCCAGCTGTTACTAAGGACATGTCTCTGAAGTGTCCTGCTCCAAACCCCAAACAGATCCTTGTAGCCCCACCCCCCTCTCTTCCAGCTGTTACTAAGGACATGTCTCTGAAGTGTCCTGCTCCAAATCCCAAACAGATCCTTGTAGCCCCCCCCCTCTCTTCCAGCTGTTAATAAGGACATGTCTCTGAAGTGTCCTGCTCCAAACCCCAAACAGATCCTTGTAGCCCCCCCGCTCTCTTCCAGCTGTTACTAAGGACATGTCTCTGAAGTGTCCTGCTCCAAACCCCAAACAGACCCTTGTAGCCCCCCCCCCTCTCTTCCAGCTGTTACTAAGGACATGTCTCTGAAGTGTCCTGCTCCAAACCCCAAACAGATCCTTGTAGCCCCCCCCCCTCTCTTCCAGCTGTTACTAAGGACATGTCTCTGAAGTGTCCTGCTCCAAACCCCAAACAGATCCTTGTAGCCCCCCCCCCCCCCCTCTCTCTCCCAGCTGTTACTAAAGAGCTGACTCTGGGTCAGTAGCTTCAGAGAGAGAGTAGATCTCATCAGGAGAACTCTCCCAGCAGAAACTCAGCTAAATGCTGCCGTGATGAAACTCCATATCATGTTCCAAACCACATGAAGGATTCTCTCTGAAACAGCATGGAGCTCAAACTCTTTCTCTCTCTCAGGTTTACCACAAGGTCACTTCCTTTTCATTTCCTGCTTCTTCACACATGCTCTCTCCAGTACAGGTTAGCTCTGAGTGTTAGCATGCTAATGTAAACACAGACCATATTACTTCCAGAACACGTCTCATTGTTTCTGACAGCAACGATTCTGATTGGCCCGTGGGTGTAAAGCCCGCCCACATTTTAGTAATGATGCAGCAAATCTGGATCAGCTCCGTTGTTCCCCCGTTTTTAGAGATGTGGGTACGGAGGAAAAGAGAGAGGGGTTTATTTCATGACACTTTGTGAGTCTCCTGACACACAGGGGACACACCGGGGACACACCGGGGACACACCGGGGACACATGGGGGACACACCGGGGACACACCGGGGACACACCGGGGACACACCGGGGACACACCGGGGACACATGGGGGACACACCAGGGACACACCGGGGACACACCAGGGACACACCAGGGACACACCGGGGACACATTGGGGACACACCAGGGACACATTGGGGACACACCAGGGACACACCGGGGACACACCGGGGACACATTGGGGACACACCAGGGACACACCGGGGACACACCGGGGACACATTGGGGACACACCAGGGACACACCGGGGACACACCGGGGACACACCGGGGACACACCGGGGACACATTGGGGACACACCGGGGACACACCGGGGACACATGGGGGACACACCGGGGACACACTGGGGACACACCGGGGACACACCAGGGACACACCGGGGACACACCGGGGACACACCGGGGGACACACCGGGGACACACCGGGGACACACCGGGGACACACCGGGGACACACCGATGACACACCGGGGACACACCGGGGACACATGGGGGACACACCGGGGACACACCGGGGACACACCAGGGACACACCAGGGACACACGAGGGACACACCGGGGACACATTGGGGACACACCAGGGACACATTGGGGACACACCAGGGACACACCAGGGACACACCGGGGACACATTGGGGACACACCGGGGACACACCGGGGACACACCGGGGACACACCGGGGACACATTGGGGACACACCGGGGACACACCGGGGACACATGGGGGACACACCGGGGACACATTGGGGACACACCGGGGACACACCGGGGACACATGGGGGACACACCGGGGACACACCGGGGACACACCGGGGACACACCGGGGACACACAGGGGACACACCGGGGACACACCGGGGACACACCGGGGACACACGGGGGACACACCGGGGACACACCGGGGACACACCGGGGAC